AAACCAGGTCTCAGCAGAGATGATATTTGAGTGGAAGCCTGACCCAAGTGAAGGTGTGAACCATGCAGATGTCTGGGAGAAGCCATTTCCAGAAAGAAGGCATGAGGGTGCTGAAAAAAAAAATAATGTGGAAGTTTTAAGGATGGGCATGACGTGATCTCATTTATATTTGAGAAAGTTCTTTCGAGTTGCCGGATGAAGAATGGATATTGGGAGGAGGTAGGGAGGCTGCTGTAGCAATCCAGGCAAGAGATAGCAGGAAATGATGGGGAGAAGTGGTCTTACTTGGAAAGTAGTTTACAGGGAGGGCCAAAAAAACTTACTGCTAGGTCAGTATTGAATGAGGAGAAAGACATTTAAAGAATGATGCCAAAGTTATTGGCCTAAGGAACTAGACAAATGAAATGCCCTAAACTGAGATGGGGACATTTTGGGTGGCAAATGAATAAGTCTGCTTTGAACATGCTAGGTATAAGATAACTTTTAGGTAACTAAGGGTGGATGTGCTTAGTTGAGATTGGGATTGGAGATAGTGTTTCTGTATAATCCATGTACAGATGACTTTTAAAGCTATGCTGCTGAATGAGAACCCCTAGGAACTAAGTATGGAGAAGAGACACCTAAGCCCTGGGCATGTCAATACTTAAATGTAGGGTCTTCCTCTTATGGAATCCAGCAAGAGACTGGTAAAAAGTAACCATCGAGGTGGGAGGAAAACCAGGAGAGTATGGAATCCCAGAAGCCAGTGAGGGCAGGAGTGACCTACTGTGTTCACTGCTGCCAAGTGGGTACCTGTGGATGTCATCAGTGACATAGAGTAATGCAGTTCATTTTAACTGCTGTCTAGCATTCCATCACGTGAAGAGAGAAGGCTCCTTCCTCTATCTCCCATCATTTAGGTGAACATTTTCAGTGATCATTCCTGAACAAGCTACTGATCTGAGCACATGTAGCAGTGTTTCTCTGTGGAGCCTTTCTAGGGATGGAATCACTAGATTATTAAGAAAGATATGCACAGCTTCAACTTGACAAAACAGTGCCAGATTGTTTCCCAAAATGGTGGTGCCATCGTCAATTCCTATGTTCAGTGTTCAAGAGCCCCCACTGCTTCGCATCTTTGCCAACATTTGCTATTGCAGACTTTAGAATTCTTGCCATTCACATTTTCCTGAGTCCTAGTGAGGTTGTGTCTCTGCCATTTGGGTTTCCTTTTAGGTGACCCACCTATTAATATCCATTGCCCAGTTTTCAAGGGAGTTGTCTTTTTTTTTTTTTTTAGTTTGTATTATTTCTTTATACTGGACACTAAACAATGTCTTTTAAGTACATTGCAAATATGTGTCACACCCAGTCTGTGGTGTGTCTTTCTAGGGTTGTGTGGTGTGTGTGTGTGTGAGAGAGAGAGAGAGAGAGAGAAATATAAAAGCTTTTAGTTTTGATGAATCAAATCTATCCATTTGTTTTGTGTCTTATTTAAGCAAACTTTCCCTACCTGAAGGTTATGAAGATACTTGCCTATCTTTTGTTCTAAGACTTTTAAAGTTTTTTGTTTTGTTTTGTTTTGTTTTAGTTTATATATGTTACAGTTAATGCATCTGAAATTTATTCTCTGTAGGGTATGAGGTAGGGATCTTTTATGTTTTTTGTTTGTTTCCTGTCGTGAAATCCAGGTGTCCTGACCTCTCCAGCCTTTTCCCATTGATCTGTACTGCCACCACCATCACATCCAGTTCCCTACTGGGGTATGGGTCTGATTGGGCTCTTTTTTCCTGTTCCACTGATCATATTGCCCATTCTTGGACCCATACCCCGAAGTTTTCATTATTGAACTTTAGAGGAAATTTGATATCTGGTAGGGTCAGTTGGGCAAAAGGAGGATTATTTGCTTTTTGCTTTGAAGTCACTTGCCTTTAAAAAACTGTCCATCGTGTACTTAAAATAGCACTGTACACTTAGAAAAATCTATTTACCACTCACATTTCAAGAACCGATCTGTGGCATGAAGGGGGCGGCCCTCACTTTTCTGTGAAACTCTGGGTACTTTTACTTTTGGCTTTCCACACCCCTGCCCCGCCAACTCTCACCTCCGGTTTTTCAGGTTGTGATGTCTCTGAACCATGGGGCTGCTCTTCCGGTACTTACACGTGGTGGGTATTTTGTGACTGGGCTACGGTACCAATTTCATTGGTTATTGCCAACCAGACCATAGTGACAGGCCTGATGGGTTCTGGGGTTTCCTGTTGCCTCACCGGCACTGAGACCCTGGATTCTAAAAATAAAAGCACAAGAAACCACCGTGACCTCACGGTCCCTGCTTGCATGGTGCTCTGAGGGCCAGGGCTGTTTTCACCCCCGCGGCCTGGCCCAGCCTGGGCCCTGCTCCCTGCCAGAGCAGCGTGCGGTCCGAGTGGTCTGGACGGGCTCTGAGGGCCTCCCTGCCTGAGCGCTGGCTCTCTCTCCCCCTTCTCTAGGCCAGCTCCCGCAGGGCCAAAGTGGCTCCAGCCAAGAGGATGAGCAAGTTCTTGAAGCACTTCACTGTCGTTGGGGACGATTACCATGCGTGGAACATCAACTACAAGAAATGGGAGAACGAGGAGGATGATGAGGAGGAGGAGCAGACGTCGCCGGCACCCGTGTCCAGCGAGGAGGGCAGAGCCCCCGACCCAACGGCGGCCCCCGCCCCCGTGCCCCGGCCCCCCCTCAACTTCAGGGCCACACTGAGGAAGCTCTTTAGCTCCCACAGGTTTCAGGTAGGTGGGCAGAGGCCCAAGATGCCTGGGGTGGGGCAGAGCCGTCAGCCAAGAGTCACAAGGCCGGGGTGGGGGCCTAGCTCTGCCACCGCCCTGTTCGTTTGATGTCTGTCACCTGAGTGCTAACCCTGTGGCAGGCGCCCCGTACAGCGCTGGGCAGATCCCGTGCCGCCAGGGATAAAGTAAGTCACGGGCCAAAGCCAGTGCAAGGTCTGTCACCTGACGAGTGAATGAACAAAACGTAGGCTGTCCACACTCGGCCGTGAAGAGGAATGAAGCAGTGACACCTGCTATGAGTGGTGACAAGGTGACGCTTAGTGAGAGAAGCCAGACACAAAAGACCACACGTTGTCTGAGTCCGTTGATGTGAGAGGCAAATCCAGAGAGAGAGACAGCAGATTGGTGGTTACAAGTTGGAGGGAGGGCAGAATGGCAAGGGACTGCTTAATGGATACAGGTTTCTATGTGGGGTCATCAAGACGTTCCAGAACTATTCGTAGTGGTGATGCCTGCACCACCTTGTGAAGGTGCTTGATGCCCCTGAACTATATGCCAGCTTCAAAATGGTTCCAGTTTTGTTATGGTAGATTTTATGTTTTGAAGATTTTACTATTCCTATACAAAAAGTAAACAAAAGGGTAAACATTGGAGGCAGAGAAAACGTTCCTGCATTCATTCAGCAGACATTGAGTGCCTGCCCTGAGCTGAACAAAGGCCAAGAGGGTCCTGTGCCTCCCAGAAGTATCACCCTGGGGGCTTCAGCCTCCTATTTTGTGATCTGCCTAGTGTAGTCCACAGCTGACCCCTGGGTGCGCTTACGGGAGAACACAAGAGGGACACACGGACTTCAAAGAACAGTGAAGGGTTCTTTGTCGGCATCTTCCGACTTTGAAGGACAAAAATGCAGGTTGAGTGTGGTGGGGCCCTGTCTCAGCCCCCAGCCCTGGGTGTCTGGAAACCTGTTCTGAGGGCCCCCAGAGAATGCAGGAGGCCCAGGACACTGGGGAAGCATGCAGCCCCTTGTCAGCCCAGGTCCCATGGAGCCATTCTGGGGACCCTGTAGCAGGTATCCTCCTAAACCGAAATAAACCAGTGCCTCCCTAGAGCTGACTTCCCTTCTGGAAGCAGAAACAGCCCTTGCCTCTCCCATCACTGACTTTGTTCCAGGGTAAAATAGAAAAAAAAAAATTATTTTGGTCTTTTTCTCGCTTTCATGTAGCTTAGAGAAACGAAACAGGCCACACACCCCCAGCAGGCCTCGCAGCTCTGTGTGTTGCTCTGTGGCTGTGACAGGAAAGGAAACGTGGTATTAAGTTGTTGGGGTTGAAATCCCAAACCCTCAATTTCAGAAGCAGAAGGAAGGAGCCAGTTTCCTTCCAGCTGCAAGGGGAACCCTGGGCCTCCCTGCTCTGGGAGGTCCTTCATCTCCTGACTGGGCCACAGGGCTGCCCGCTGAGCCAGGGCCTCTAAGGACACTCCTACTGGAGAAGCCGCTTGACCACTGAAATATAAGCAGAGATGCTTAGTCATTCACTGGACAGTGATTTCTCGAGCAGTTACTTCTGTGTGCGGGGGACAGAGCAACAAGCACGGCAGGTACACCCCTGTCCTTACTCTCGGAGGACCGATGGTCTGTGGAGAGTCAGGCACTCCAGGAACCATCACCCAGACTGATGCTGGTTGCAAGTGAAGAGAAGCCCTCTGTAGGGAGACAGAGGGGGGGCTCTGAGAAATCCTGCGGATAGGGAGACACCTGACCTAGGATTGGGTGTCAGAGGACGTGTGGTGGAGGAGGTGACATTTCATCTGACACCTGAAGGTTGGGCAGGGGTGAGCTCTGTAAATGTGGAAGGGAGGAAGTTTCCAGGCAGAGAGATTGTGTTTGCAAAGGGCCCAAGATAGGAAAGGATCTGCCGCATTTCTAGAATTGCGAAGGGTCCATATGGCTTACATGTAGCAAGTAGAGGGAGACCTTGGCAAGAGAGGAGGTGCTAGAAGGTCATCTGTGGGCAGTGGGCGGCCACGGACAATCTACATGTATGGGTGGGAGGGAGTGACATGACTAGATTTGTAGAGGGACTCCGGGAGACCACCACGGAGTGGGGATACCAGTTCAGGGGTTTGATCTCAAGCCAGTAGAATCAGCATGCAAGAGGATTCTGGAATCCTCTTCTCGGATACATTCTCTCTACCTGTGCCCATGGTTTGAAGCAGCCTAGGTGACCTGATATATAGTTAATTGCCATCACTTCTCACATAGGATGGTACAAGCAAGGGAGAGAATAGAGTGTGTTGGGCCTCTGTGGAATCCATGGGTGGAGAGGGTAGCTGAGCCAGGGGACGATAGCCGTGAAGGTCAAGAAGCTTCACTTTATTACCTGCTCACTATGACGGGGCCCTGGAATAAGTACCCTTCACATGTTACCTCATGTCATGCTCCGTCAATCTAGGGTGGAAAATGAGGTCAACCTCCTTTTCTCCAAGAGGACGTTGAAGCTTAGCATTAACACCGGAGGCTCATCGGTCTTGAGAGATGTGCCCAGGGTCGAGGCTAATGCGGGAGCTGGCCCAGGGCTGGCGGCCCCATAGCCGGCGCTCCCCACCACTGCATTCTCCAGTTGGGCCCGGCCCTCTTTGCCCCATCTGGATGTGGAATCAACCAGCTTCCCTGAATTCTCGGCGTTTCTCTTTGTGACGTGACTCCCCTCAGAAATAGCACTGCCTTGTGAAGCGGCAAATTCAGGTTCTGGGGATTAGTGGAGAGAGGCCAGGACTGGGACCCAAGCATTATAGTTTTGTGACCCGGGGTCGGTCTGTCTTGCTCTTCTTGAGGAGGAATTCACATAAAGTTGGTCATTGTAAAGTGAATAATTCAGTGGCGTTTATGTGGCACTTTCACATGCTGTTCAGCCACCACCACTGTCTCGTTCCAGAATGCTTCCATCACCCCAAAAGGCGACCCGGTACCCACCAAACAGTGGGCCCCCATCCCCTGAGAACCGCTGATCTGCTCTGTGTGTACGGATTTGCCTTCTCTGCCCTCTTTATATAAGCGGAATCAGACGCCGTGCGGGCTCTGTGTCCGGCTGCTTTTCTCAGCATCGTGGCTTCTCCGGGCATTCCCGCTGTGGCGCGTGTCAGGGCTTCTTCCTTTTTATGGCTGAATATTCACTCTGTTTTTAATGTCTCTGTACCTTGGTTTTAGACCAGATGAGCTCTCACGTCCCGTTAGCTCTAAAATAAAACCAAGGATGAAGAAAGAAAGAAAAAGGAAAAACCACCCGCCGGAGGCTTGAATCTTTATCGAGCTGCTGAATTTGGATATGTGTGAAAACGTCATTACTTTGCCATGCAATTTTCACAGTAAACCACGTCCTCAAACGCTTGAATTACGGAAGTGACTAGCTATGGGCTGAAATGGTCGGAAGGTTTCCTAGTCCACTTTTACCGAGGCCTGTCCAGTTTCAACCTGAGAGTGCAGGCGCTGCCGAGAAAACAGCAGATTAACTTGCAGAATCTACCTGAGCGCGTCTGACGGAGGAAGCAGGGCCCCGAGGAAGGCAATGGGGGGCCAGAATTCCCAAGGGAAGAGAGGGGTCACAGGGTGTCCGTTGGAGGGGTTCCTTGCACTGCTGCCATTTCCATCACCGAACACCATCACCCCCACCCTGCCATGAGAGCCCCCACCAGCATCTCCACCACCTCTGTCCCCGTGGGGCCCCCCTCCCCCGTCGGTGAGAGCACACATGCCTGGCACCCTGGTCCCCACTGGCCTCCTCCACTGGCAGGTCGCAGAGCCCCCGAGATGGTCTTTCTCACACCTCTCCTCGGTCCCCAGGAAACCTCAGACTCCAGCCGCCCCGCACCCCCTGACGAGCCCGCACGAGCCGGGGCCGGGACTGACGGTTCCAGACAGAAGCTGTGATGTCTGTACAGTGGATATCACTTAATCCAACTGCCTCAAGGCAGGCAGTCCCTGGAGGGACTTCCATGACTCAGATCTCTGAGGCGGATCTTTTTAATTATCTATTGAGCATCTGTTCTGGGTGTACCCTGGCAAGAAAATCTCCAGAAATAGGAAAATTAAAACTAAAACAAAAAAATTTTTTTTTGCCATCTAGGAATTAGCAGTTTGGCTTGAGAGATGCTGAGAGACAGTGAATGAATACGAAAGACCAGTGGTGACTGTCACTCATTGAGCCAGGCAGAGCAGCTCTAGGAGGACAGGCACTGCCCAGGGGGCCGACAGGCCTGGACGGTGTGCAGCTGTGGGCAGCGGCCTCCCATCCTTGGCATCTTCACCCAGTGGTTTCCCCTAGATGCTTCTGGCCCTTAAAGATGGAAGGAGGGTCACGTTTTAGGTCTCACGGTTTCTCACTCCTTCCCTTGGTCTGCAGGTTGTCATCATTTGCCTGGTCATTCTGGATGCCCTCCTGGTGCTCGCTGAGCTCATTCTGGACCTGAAGATCATCGAGCTTGACAAGAATGACTATGCCGCCAAGGTAGGGTGCTGGCAGCCCTTTAATACCATTCCCTGCACCTTTCCTGAGGTGGGCAGAGAGGGGCAGATAGCACCCTCCTGGGAGTAGCAAGTCCTTAACAGACTAAGTTGACTGGGTGCTTTTAGCCAGAGACCAGGGAAAATGTCTTCTTTCCAAATTATAGACAAGCATTTGCTATAAGCAGGAAACCTCATTTCACTTGATGGCTTGAAGCTTGAGTGGTGCTAGACCACTGAGCTGAGGCGTGTCACTGCTTCAAGAGGGAGGATCTAACCAAGACAGTGACACTGTCCCATCTTCAGTGGCAGACAGGCTATTTCTCGGCCTGTCAACATTCTGACATGGTCCCTGTGCTGGAGATCTGCCCACTGTTTATTCTTCAATTCACAGCTGCTGCCTGAGCCCATCCCAGACATTTGTCCAGCCTTCCCAAGGCAGCTGCTAGCTTTTCTTCTGTGGCCAGCCCGAGTCCTTCCACAGATGGATGAATATTTTTCCTCTCCCTCTGCTTTTAACACCATCAGTGACATACCTGCTGTACTTTTTCAAGATTTTTTTTTTATTTGAGAGAGAGCGCGTGCACACACAAGCGGGGGGAGGGGCAGAGGCAGAGGGAGAAGCAGACTCCCCCACTGAACAGGGAGCCCAACCCCGGGTGTGATCCCAGGACCCCGGGATCACGACCTGAGCTGAAGGCAGACGCTTAACCAACTGAGCCACCCAGGTGCCCCTCACTGGTCTTGTGCCTTTTTCCTCAACTTTTTTTTCCCCAACTTTTTATTATGAAAAATGGCAAATATACTTTTCACTACATTTGCTTTATCTCTCTATATATCCACAAACACACCCATGTATTTTTGACTATTTGAAAGTAAGTTAGACATCAGGACACAAATACTTCAATATGCCTAAGAATAAGGTCTTTTCTCCTATGGAACCGTAATCACATTATCACACCTCAAAAATTATCAATAATTCCATAATAACCAGTTTATATTCAAATTTCCTCATTTGTCCCAAGAATATGTTATAATGCTTTTTTCTTTTTTTCAAACTAGACTTCTGATACAATACTTGGTTATTATCTCCTCAGGCTCTTAATCTAGGAGAGTCCTTCCACATTTTTTTTCCCCCGAGTCCAGCCAGTCATCTCGTAGGATGTCCCACATTCTGGATTTGTCTCTTTCCCCAGAGGTCCTTCAACTTGTTCCCTTATCCCCTGTACACCAGAGGTTAGGTCTAGAGGCTCAGTTAGCAAGAGTGCTTGGCTGGTGGGCTGTTTTTTTTATAGCATGGCATATCACGATCAGTGATACTCGCTGGGATCACGGATGGTAGTAAATGTGAGCTGTTCCACTGTCCAGGGGCACTTTCCCTTTGCAGTTAGAAATAATCTGCACAGTGACACTGGACTACCCTCCAGAGATCCTCTTCCCCAGTTAGCATCCACCTGATGGTCACTGTCTGAGTCATGGAATACACTGGGAGATGCAAACTGAGATTTCTATCATTCATTTCACATCTGGTAGGTGGGTTTTTTTGTTGGTTTTATATATATATAGAAGAGCTTTCTTTTTTTCCCTGTATGTGTATGTATCACTAAAGACTCATGGATTTTTTTTTTTTTATTCAGTGTATCACAATCATAGCCATTCGGTTCAGGGTCCAAATTGTCCTACTAAATTTGATCACTATCTCTTCAGGCTGACTGCTATATCCTTTTAACAGCTCGTGGGCATGCCCTGCCCCGGCCTGTGGCCAGCCCTGGATCTGTTCTCACTGTGCCCCCTCTGTTTTTCTCCAGGTGTTCCACTACATGAGCTTTGCCATCCTGACCTTTTTTATGATGGAGATCTTTTTTAAATTATTTGTCTTCCGCTTGGAGTTCTTTCACCACAAGTTTGAAATCCTGGATGCCATTGTGGTGGTGGTTTCCTTCATCCTCGACTTCGTCCTCCTGTTCCAGAAGCACCAGTTTGAGGCTCTCGGCCTGCTGATTCTGCTCCGGCTGTGGCGGGTGGCCCGGATCATCAACGGTATGTCCCCCGTACCCCCAGGCGGCAGAGGGACAGCCGGCTGGGCAGAGCCCGGGAGGGGACCATGGCTCCTCCTCCTCCTGGCTAGTATTTTCTAGAGATAAATGAAGTGGTCTGATTTGGCGCCCCACCACTGCCTCTGTGGCTGCAAACTGACACCAAGTTACACATGCTCTAAGAGGAACTACCTTTCTCCGTTAGGCCTTGTTTTCATGATTATTAGAAGGTATTTACAGAAAGAGTCAGACGAACATTTTGATTAAGCCCCTCCAGCTTGGTTCCCAGAGCACTTTTGTTTTTAATTTGGTGTTTCCTGAAAAATGTTCTACCAAACCCCATCCCCCTGGGAGGGGCACCACTTGTTGGCATGAGGAAGCCTGAGAACTCTGAGTTCCCCAAATTGACCAACTGGACACTACTGGGGAAATAACACCTGTTAACATGTTGTAGACTTTGGCTCTAGAGAACACACTTGGGGAAATAATGCTCTACTGTACTTCAGGTAAAGATCCCATTCCTCACACACACCCTAGTGGTGCAGGGAGGCTCCGTTTCTGAGAAGCCACGTCTCTGCTGTTAACTGCTCAGCTCTCAGGAACTCTAGTCAGAGGTGCTCCAATGTGTCTGTGAACCCACCACATCAGAATCACCTCCAGTGCGGGCGCCTGGGTGGCTCAGTTGGTTAAGCGACTGCCTTCGGCTCAGGTCATGATCCTGGAGTCCCGGGATCGAGTCCCACGTCGGGCTCCTTGCTCAGCAGGGAGTCTGCTTCTCTCTCTGACCCTCTTCCCTCTCGTGCTCTCAAATAAATAAATAAAATCTTAAAAAAAAAAAAAAAATCACCTCCAGTGCTTCTGGAAGTCTGGCACAGACCCTCATAGGGTGTCTATTTTTGAAGCGCTACCAGGTGATTTGGGTGTCCAGTCAGGTTTGGGAATCCCTAGACGAGGGCCCAGCATGATAGGCTCTGTCATTGCCCAGAGAGTGAGTGAGGCGGGCCTGTCCTCTGACACAGAGCTCCTTCGCTTGGCAGCACAAGTGAGTTCTATCCCAGTCTCCCCTGCTGGCAGGGCAAGTGTCACATCTCCGATGCAGGGCTGCGTGAGGGGCTCTGCCTGTGGGCACCATGGGCTCCCCCTGGCTTTAGGAGCCAGTTTAGATCTTCTGATGAAAGCCCATTAAGAGTATTCATTTGGCTCTGTCAAAAGAAATAAAGGAAGCTTTTCACTTACTATTGAATATGCTTATGCTAATTGATTATTCATCAAACAGAAAAATACTCTGTGCAAAGATTATGTACCATGGAGGTAGATAAACCATGACCGTGAACAACTCATGAATGCAGTTACTACCCTTTACTCTCGTTATCACACCATGGTGAGGTTTGCTTTGCAGATAAAACCAAACATCTGAGATTTGTGCATTTTATTTGTCTGAATGGTAGCAGGCCATAGGACTGCCTAATGCCCAAGCTTCAACTGGATTCAGACAACCAAGAATGCAGGGCACAAGGGGCCAGTGCTCCTGGGCTTCATGACTACTGAGTCCAGACATGGTCACTCTTACTTGGATGGCGCAGAGCATCCCCAATTGCTGCACAGTCTTATGCGGCCACGTCCCCACAGTGGTGTGGGCATTGGGGAGCCATCAGATAAGGCTGATGACCCCTCTGTTGGCCAAGACTTAGTTGATCGCCTGACAGCTGAACTGGCCATAGCTGTGGGAGGCAGAAAACTGGGAAAGTGACAATCCCAAGGCTAAGCGTGAGCATTTCCAGCCTTGCTCTTCCGTGGCTTTTAGGGACGGTGCTGCTAAGCGCTAAGCCTCTGTCGTGAACAAGCTCTGTATGAAGGACTATAAAGGATTTCTTAGTCCACGCAACCTGAAGGGAAATATTTCACAAATGGTTAATGAGCAGCTCAGAAATTAAAAATCTGACCTTCCTGTTTCTGATGCCTTTAAGTGATGGACTGTCTGCCACCATTCTTCCCAACTGTATACACTTAGAAGGAAGACAGAGGTTTTTTTCAAGTGGTTTAATTAGAAACCTGTATCACTGAGACCCTCAATTATTTTACAGGAATAATCATCTCAGTTAAGACACGTTCAGAACGGCAACTGCTGAGGTTAAAACAGATGAATATACAGTTGGCTGCTAAGATCCAACACCTTGAATTCAGCTGCTCTGAGAAGGTAAGAAGACACTTTTGGGCAAATGCCATCTGTTTGCCTTCAGTACGGTGCTTCTCCCTACCAGGCCCTGGCTCGGACGCTGCCCTTGGCTCAGTCTTCCTTGTTCTTGCAGATTAGCATCGCCTCCTTCCCCAGAGCTGTGCCAGGTACCCCTCCACTGAGGACCTCTTGTCACTCCAGCACCCACTAGACCCCCGCTGACCGCAGCGGGCTCTGCTGGCAGACTCCACGGGGAGCGTAGCGTTCATTCAGCTTTGCGCCCTTGGGGCCCACTGAATGATTCCCACATCCCTGGCGAGGTGCAGAAGGTAAACTGAGTTATCTGCTTTTGTAATGACAGGAACGAGAAATTGAAAGGCTGAACAAGCTACTGAAACAGCATGGACTTCTTGCTGAGGTCAACTAGACACGCGCCTGCTCCATCCCGAAGAGAAGACCCTTGCCTCACAGGCTGTGCCGCTGACAAGAAAGACAGCTGCCCCTCCTGGGGCCATTTCGGGGAGAGGTTTGGTTTGATGCCTTTGCCTCACCCCCACCCAGCTCAGATTCTGGGGGGCTGAGGAGTAAAGTCTGTGGGAAGGCTCGCTCTTTCTTGGTGTGACCAAGAGCTTCCCCATCCCATTCTCACCCCCTATCACAGTGTATCACAAACTATATTTTCTCATGTTAAACACTTGACTCTTGCTTAAAATGAAGGACAAAGTTGGACAACTACTAGTTGTATATAAAATTTAATCTCATCAAATGTACTTTTCACATTTCGCATGTATGAGGAACCAGTGCATCATTTCATATGAGCACTCTGAAAGACAAAAGAAAAAAAGGAAGCTACCTTAGCTACTAGCCCATTCTAGAAAAGTCTTATCTTCTTAAGCTGGTCTCAATAGCTCCTCTTCGTGCAGATTCCCCCAGAGAGGTTGTTCTCAGGTACCCAGCCCCCTCCTCTGCAGCCTCCAGCTTCTAACTGGCTCTACCTTGTTCTGCCACCCGACAACATTTTTCTCAATTACTGTACAATTAACGTATAAAAGAAACTCCTTCCCTCGGGCCCTCCTACTCTATTCTTTCCAGCATCAACTGCTTGGAACTGCTCTGTGGCATCCCATACAGCCCACGAGATAGAGAGCTCCAGTGCCTGCCACCGAAACAGCAATTAGACCCAAGACTCCATGTAATGAAGATGACACTGGGGGAAGATCCCCTCAGGAGGCCGAGTACTCTACTCGCACGCATGATTTTATATACAATACTTTGCTATTTTTGTATTCATTCCCACGGGGCCTGAAAAGGAAAGAAAACCTGAACTACAATGAGTATTTTAAAAAGAACTCACATTGAAGAAGAGGATGCATAAACTGGATAAACCCTCAACACCTGTGCTACTTCTGGGTCTGTCCCCTTTACAATCTTCCCAAAGGTGCAATTTGGTTTCCACACATGACCTATGTGGCTGACAATACTGGAAATCACCAAGACCAGATGGTGCCCCATTCTAAGGTCAAACCAAGGAGAATAAAATTTCCAAAAGGAGGGGAGTGAGTGAAGAGGGGAAGTGTGTGGTCTGAGGGTAACCCCATGGGTCAGAGGTAGAATACCAGGATGTCTCCAAGGGAGCCCAGGCCCCAGAACACTCGATTCTAGAGGTAATTAACAACTTACGTCAAACAAACGGAAAGAAGAAATTAAACGGCAGCCTGGCATCGATGGTTGGCTGAGCTCTGAAGCCTGCCTCCGCAGGTGCAGATGCATCCACAAAAGCAACCGCAGTGGAAATGAGAACCGTCCTCTCATTTCCTGAGTTGGTCTGTAATAAAAAGAGTGTTGCAAGCCCTGCCTTCCAGTGTGTGCTCCTGTGCTCGGGATAACAAAGCTGGGACAGGCCACGTTCCGGAACCTTCCTCACATTTCGACGCGGTCAGTGCATCTCCTAGGCATGCGGAGGCCTCCTCAGCTGCTCACTTGGGTGAGAGAGTTTTTACCTAGGTTGTCCTAACCCACCAATGTTGGCCACAACTCCATTTTCAAAGAATTTTAAAGATCAAATCTAAACAAGAATGCTAGTGTCAATTCAACTGTTGTCAGTGGGTTTTCTCTAATAAAAGAAAATGCTGAATTGTTTTAAGAATTCAGATTAAATTTCAATTTTTTCACAAAATAAATTTCACTATCACGCTTGAGTTTTGTCTGGACTTATGTCTTAACCTACACCTTGAAACCCAAGTTAGACCTACCTCAGGAAAGGAGGATGAGAGGAGACTTGCAGTCACGTTTACTATTTTAGCTTGTGGGTTCAGTAAGGACCCGTATTTAGTCCACTTCACTTCTATCACCAAAGCGACCGGGAGCTGGCAAGAATCCTGCACAACAAAATGCCATTAATCAATCTGAACATTACACAACCTCATGTCAAACTTAATCTGCAGTTCAGAGTTTTAATTATAAAATGTTTCACGTAATACAAAATGTTCTGAACAAGACAGTGAAGAGACTCTAGAAGTTCAGATAAAAACACCTGACAGCACATATTTTAAAGTACTCGATGCTCCAGAAATATTTTAACACCGAAAACAGCATTTTTCCAACGTCTCCTGTTTCTAGAGGCCAGCATTACTTGGAAGTTGTGGCGATCCCAACACCAAACCATGGAACCTTGGGCCCCAACTTCATCCAGCTCAGAGATTCTTGAGGGGAGAAGCCGGCATGGGGGCGGGGGGGATGGCAGGAGTCACAGAAATTAAACCTAATTGCGTATCACGTTAAAATGCACCCGGAGGAAATGTAAATGCTTTGTCTAATTTCATCACTTGGCGATTAAGCTGTTACACGGCGGTACACAGCCAAGTCTGTAAGTTGTCAAAGATACTAACTCTCCGTGTGAGCCGAGAGCAGCGCCTCTGCGTGAGCGCAGGCTGGAGACCTGGGAGCTGGCCTGAGGCCTCTGCCCCAGGGAAGAGCGGCCGAGGGGACCTTCCCAACCCTTTCCCTGCCTTCGCGTTTGTTGGCAAATGTGAGGACCGCCGAAGCAGCACAACAGGTAGAAGGAATTCCACTGTAATACTCTACTTCTGTGTCTGTCTGAAATTTCCCCACAACAAGCTTTTTAAAATATGCCTCTTCAGGGCATGAAAAGCTAGCAAGCAAGCCTGCTAAATTTGGTGGCTGCCAAAAAGGCACTGGTGGAACTCCTTAGCTGGGAACTGCCTCTTAGGAAGGCTGCAGGCTGGAGAGGAGGCAACAAGCAGCCCAGGGAAGCTGGGCCTGGCACCTGTGTGCGGGTCTGCTGCCACCAGAGTTGCCCGCAAGGTAGGTACAAAACCCGCCCCGGGCCCTCTGAGCTCCCTGCCCCCGCACAGACCCTGAAAATGCGAATGTCCGCACTGCCCCTCCTCCCAACCTGTCTTCCCTTCTGAGGGGGTAGTAACAAGGTCTTAACCTATCTCTGAGAAGCCAGAAGCGATGTGGCTGGTTCACTGAGGCGGCAGTGTTGAGCCAAGACTGAGCAGCTGAACAGCAGGGACTGAGTAATACTGGTTCTCTGCTGGGGACTCCGGAGGAGGAGGGCCGGATCAGAGCTGGAGAGCGGGTGCTCACCCCCATTGTCCGCCTGCTATAAATATGCTAAGCAAAATGAGAGGCCTGAGAAGCTGCGACACAAAAGCTGGGCAATTAAAGGATAAGATGGAGAGCACGCCTCCAGTGACGCCTCCAGTGACGGGGACCAGCCCACACTCTGACGCTGAGACAAAAGAAAAAGGTGGGCAGAGGAATCACGTGTGATCAGGAACCTCTTTGTAGGATGTCAACTTCCATGAAACTCTTTGGGGAACTTTGGAATTGAAAGCTCTCACATGCGGGCTGCCTTTATAGACCAGGGAACAATGGCTGGGGCAGTGATGTGGACAGGAGGAGTCTCACTTTCTGCCACAGTCTTCACACACTGTCCTATCATGATGCCTCATGTCACACCAACAATGACCATGGGAACAGTCAGGATGGTGGTGAGTCCCCATGTTTGGAGCAACCACTAGGCCCCACAAATGTTACCTCGTTTAACTCAACAACCCCACGAGGCTGACACTATATAGCTCTCATTCCCTATTTCACAGATGAGGAAACAGGCTCAAACCCTCAAAGGCAAGAGGGCTAACAAAGCGCAAAATCAGTGTTCAAGACCCAGGCCCATCTGATAACAAAGCCCGAGTTCCTACCCAGAGCCCTCGGCCTCAACAGGTGGCTCCCCCAGCTGCCTCTGCCTCTACCTCCCCACAGGGCGGAGGAGCAGTGGGAGGAGGAGAGACCACTGGCACGTGGCCTTCAGCTTCCCCTTTACCTTCATGTGGGATGCCTGGGTGATGAAGTGGACCGGTACCCAGTCCAGCACATCCTGGGCCTGGGAATTTCCAAAAGAGGCCACATAATCTGGGAAGCCTTGGCCCTTCAGGAGGCTTTTCACTTTCTGCACTGCGAGCTGGCACGTGATGGCTTTGGGCAGTCTTTTGGGAAGGAAAAAAAGGTCGATGGAATGGGGCTGTTGTTCATTCCAACAGTTCTCACAGGCCTCAACAACACGCATGCCCTCTCCAGTTGCTTTATTTTCTCTCTCTCCAAACATTATATGACAAAAGCCAAAGTGTCTCTAACTCTGAGAAATCCTGGTTGGCCGGGGAGAAACAAAACAATGTTTCCCAAACTGTGTTCCACTGAGAGGCTCTGTACAAGAAGAGTTCTGTGGCCAAAATTTTGGGAAATATTGCATGCCCATGCCCCTCCTGCAGCACACTGGCATATAAGGTCTCTGACAAGTCCTTACAGTAAGGAATCGTGTTTTTAACTTTAATTTGGTGTTCCTCAAACATATTAATTGGACCACAGACATAGCCCTACTGACTCTTTAGAAATGTAATCCAAGGAACACCCTCTGAGAAATTCTGGTCTAAAGCGATCAGAACCAATAATATAAATAGTATCTGTTGGTCTAACCAAAACAATGATGTAATTACCCTGGGGGGAAGTAGGGATGGGAAGTGACTGGATGGCAGGGTAGGGGAAGAAAGGGGAAAGAGCCAAATCCTTGCCTTCCACAGTGGGAACTCAACAATTCATAAAACCAAAGTGTGAGGAAATAGTATTACATATAGGTTATTGACAGATTTGGGAGTAAATTTCCAAAAACTCAGCTACAGGAGTTGCAAGTGATCACCTGCAGAGTGGGGGAAATGAGGGTAAGAGTTGGTGTCTTTATAATAAGCCATGCAGGGCCGTTTGATATTTTACACTCTATATACGCTTAATACCAAAAAGATAAACACAGAGATCACATTCAGGCTTCTCACTGGGTTTGTTGCACTACATATATTAAAATTCAGAAATACAGGAAGGACTTTCAAGCAAAGAATTTTTACTGTGAACTCAAGTGCTGTGCAACCTTAAGACCTATAAAAGCCTTGGGATTTTTACCCTGCCACGTCTGATAAGAAAAATGATTGCAACAGTTTTCCTTTGAATCACGACAAATGGTTTATGGTTGTGAAAATTAAAATTAGAAAACAAAAGTACTGTCACTGGTGCTAACAGGTCACACTGTGGCTTTCACAGGCGCTCGCTGGCTGATGCAGAGGTTTGATTAAAACGGGGAGGAGTAGGAATGCTTTGTTTTCTGATCAACACAGACAAGTTCCAAAAGCAGCAAGTTCCTCTCTTACCTTAGTTTACAGCCAGACTGCATATCATAACCAAATAATACTGGGGTCCGGATCCCCTCAACTGCTAAGCAGTCTTGCTCAGCTGTGCTACGAAGAATAGTAAGTTGTCCAAATCTGTTCGTGGTCTGAATAATCCCAGATATTCATAGAAAGTTAAGGGACAATCACCCAGTACTAAGGCAGTCTGATTCTCAGGACACAGTGACAAATGTGTGACATGAGACAGGAGTGAAACCCAAATAACCCTTCTCCGGGCCTCTGCGATCTTGACAGTCATTTCCCAGGACAGAAGAGAAAATAGTTCTATTTTCCTTGAGTAGTAGATTCTCAGAAGAAAACTCCTCAGAAACTGTTCCTCCAAAATCATTCCAAATTTTCCGAAATTACTAAATTTAAGAGTTTCTGCTTGAGTATGTAATTAAATATATCTAAAAGTCTGTCAACTTTTCTGTCCTAAGATTTTCATTATAAAACATTTTCCTGGGCCATGCTGTTCCACTCCCAACCACCAGTGTCCACAAGGCCCCATCTGCCGTGCAACAGACCCACCACCCACCAGAGCCACCCAGAGAAGTCCTGGCCAAAACAAACCTCCAGCCGACAGGACTCTCAGCAATAAACACACACGTGGACAGGGAAATCAGCCCTCTCCACAGAACCAAAAAGGATATCCCTTCTGAGGCTGAAATCCAGCAGCTAATGGGAGCCCCACAACATAACCAGGGTTTCCACTGAGAGGAACTGGCTTTGTATTTTGCTGAAAGACAATGCAGAAATGCCCCCAATAATTCTCATTTTAATAAGGAAATAGGGTGAAAATAAAATGCTTTTCACAGTAAAATCTGGGATTTCCAACAAATGAAAGAATTTCTCCCCCTACTCAGAACTATAAATATATCTGCTGAGTGTAGGAGTACATCATTCTATAAAAGAATGAGCTTGTATGGAAGAGAATCTTACTCCCAGAAAGGAAAAAGATACAAGGACTCTGCCTGATTTTGCTACAAACACATGCTACATAAAGCCCTTTGTTTAGTACAAGTGGGTAGATGGTAAGACTTCTAAACAGATTTTTTTTCACTAGGAAGTTATTTTTTTACTTGCGATTAAATATGTGTACAAAAGTGATCAAACTTACCTGAATAAAATGAATTTCAAACTTCTGCTCGAGTGGAACCACTGGCCCGCTCACGGGCCCCAGAAGGAGAGCAAGGCCAGCCTGCGCTATCTCACCTGCCTCTGTGTATGTGAGGCTGTATTTGACCTGAAAACAAAACGGCACTCCACATACACCTGTGCCCGCTGCATCAGTAACTCCAAATACACAGAGGCGGCAAATCCTTTCCCATTTCTCCGCTCGCAGAAGCTTTTTTCTCCTGTCCCATCAGATTTCGGGAGGTAACGCCTCAGCACCACCCCCAGCTGACAGGGTCATTTGAGCCTCTCTGTACCTACTTATATGAATTCCAAATCAGCAGGTTTGAACAGAGTGTGATCAATCTCTGCAGAGGAAATGTGTTAAAACAAAAGCAACAAAAAACAAATTCTGACATATTCGTGAAAGTCTCTAGGTTTGTGGAGAAAAATCACACGGAATTATTTCAGAGACCCTACTTAAGGAAGCACAGTGTACCGGCAAGTAGGAGGGCAAGCCAAGAACACCAGTACCTCAGGAGAGGCCAGAACCCCCTTTGGAGGGCGTCCAGTTACCCCCTCAGGACCATGCAGCTTGAGTCTGCCACACACAGACTCAGCTTTGCAAGCCAAATCGGGTACCTACCTCAAGAACGACATTAGTGCAGATTTTAACATCCCCAGCCTCAACAAGAGTCTGGTTCAATACCAGCGAGTCCTCCAGTCGGGTTAGTGTTTTATTCAGAGACTGAATGAGGACGGACTGAACAGTGATAGGGATCTGCAAAGCAAAGGAGAGCTGGCTCACTAAGGACACTGTCCAACAGAGATGAATGAGTCACAGTGATGAGAACCTGAAGACAAACCTCTGCAAATACACTGCCAAGCAGGGAAAAACACACAACAGAACAATATGCACACTCTAATTGTATACTCGCAAAAATACAGGTATTTATACGTACATCCTTTACATAGGAAATACTAGAGAATATAACCACAGCTTTAAAAGTGGTTCTCTCTGAAAACCTACGTTCACACAAAAACTTATACACAAATGTTCACAGCAGCATTCATAACAGCCAGAAACTGAAAACAATGCAAATGTCCATCAACTGATAAATGGAAAAATAAAATATAGTATATCCATATAAAAGAATATTATTCATCCATAAAATGATATAAAGGGCAGATTCATTCCACCACACAGATGAATCTTGAAAACATGCTAAGTGAAAGAAGCCAGACACAAAAGGTCACATATTACATGATCCCATTTACAGGAAATGTCTAGAACAGGCAAATCCACAGAGACAGAAAGTAGATCAGTGGTTGCCCAGAGGCTGAGGGAGACGACTGGAGAAGAATGAGGAGTGCCTGCTAATAAGCACAGGCATTCTTTCTGAGGTGATGAAAATGTTCTGGAATTAGGTAGTGGTGATGGTTGCACAACCCTGTGAACACACTAAAAACCACTGAATTGTACACTTAAAAATGGTGAGTTTTAGGGTATGTGAATTGTATCTCAAACATTCACACACACTCACAACTCCATCGTATCACCCAACAGGTGTATACGCTCCCCTCCACAGCACGGCTCCTACCGATCAATGCACTCGCTCCGTACACACATGTGCACGTGCTCCATAGTCCCAGGACACACCCCCCTAATCCCCACACCCTCCCTAAACATAGGCTTGACCCAATTCATGCACAACTTCTACACACACCCTTACACATACACACTAGGTGGTGGGATCATGGGAAGAGAAAACAGAGACAAGTCTTTCAAGCAGAATCAGGAAGTCCTGAATAACCCAATGCTATTAAAGGACATCTTTCATTTATGGCCACTGGCAGCAGAATGACAAGCAGCGGGCAATCCTTTAAATGACTCAACCCTCTAGGGAGTTGGGCCTCTTCATACTGTACGACAAATGTGACATTTGCACTAAATGTCAGCACTTAGAAACCACTGTTTAGGAAGGAATCTACCTTGTATCTAGTTGTTTATATTGCTTTGAACTTTGCCCTCAATTGTGTACCATGCTCCCATGATCAAGAAGACCTGTGACTGTCCATTTAAGTCAAACCTCTAAGAACGTGACATGGTTCAGAGGCAAAGACAAGCCGTCATGTGACAAGAGTGGCAGAAGGGCAACACCAATCACCACCATACCCTCTGCATAACAAGCCCTATGGATCGGTTTAAGAGCTACAGAGGGAGTCCCTTGCTACGAGTTCATGAGCTCTTCAGTTTACATCCTCAAAAGACAACCCTGGATTCCTTTATCTGAACCTACTGATCCCCGGTTCAGCAATAATGCAGGGTTCCAAGAAAATGCACACCCTTCCAGACCAGCCTCTGACAGAGCCGTTCCAGTGGTATGGGGGTGTGCTTGGCAGAAACCAAAGGGTCCAGGTTAGACAAGCTTTGGAAAGACGGATGGATGAGTGTAGGTGTTAAGAGCTGCTCTGGTCTATCAACAGCCACTGGAATGGTCACAGAATGAAAATGGTAGGGCTACTCTGGTTTCCTGAATGTCCCATTCAGCCATATCCCATTTCCACACTACCCTGTGGCAAAGAACTAAAGGATACTTAACAATGAAATTACAGAGCCATAACTTCTTTCATGGACAGTTCAATAAATATTAACTGATTCCAGGCAATCTTAACAGGCTGTGGAATGAGGAACCTGGATCCAATTTTTATATTCATCATCTAACAAATCTTGGAAGTTACTTTTAAAAAAAACTTTAAGCAAATCTCTGAGTTGACATGTTGTCCGTTAGAGCACAAGCTCTGGTATCACACAGATCTGAGTTATAAGCCCCAGTCCGTCACTTCCTGATTGCATGGCCAGAGGTTGCGAAGAAAAAATGTGTTTGAAGCTTGGCACACAGTACAGCTCGTCCAGTGTCATGGTTTAGAGTAAGGTCTTTGGGGATCCCTGTCCCAACTCTGCCACTTCCCCACTGGGTAGCCTTGAGCAAGCTAATTCATTGCTCTGTAACTCATGTGCCAGGGAGTGACAACAACAGTACCTACCTCCTAGGCTTGCTGAGACAACTTAACGGACTTCAAACATGCACGGGACTTAGAACAGTGTATGGCACACAGTACATGCCTTTCCATAACATCCCATCATCCTCACAACAGGTGAGGATGCTTGATTGCTTGATTGAACCGATCTCCTAGGCATTCACTCAATTAACACATAACCCACTGAGTGCCCAATACATACAAGGCACTACCTTAGCATTGCAGATATATCCTGGACAAGGCAGATAGGGTTGCTGCCCCCCGAGACCAAGTTTTGAATGGTAGAATCAAAGCACTTTCTAGAGGCTGGAGGTATTTGAGAGCTAGTCTATTATATGGTTTTCAAACTGGGTTCCTGGGAGCCATAGGATTCCTCAGAAGGACCAAAAAGGAGAGAGATGGGAAGGCCGGGCAGGAAGAGGGCTCTGGGCCCCACCCCTGCTTCAACGAGGGGCTTTGGATTCAATCCAAGTTACACACTAGGGAGAGTTCTGCTTGAGATCACATTTGAAAAAAACTCTGCAACTAAAACAGGTTTGAAGACACCTTCACAGATGAGGAAATCCAGACCCACACACACAAGTGTGAAGTCCAAATTCACATGACTATTTCCTTACAAGTATCTACCTCAAATACATGTTTGTGTCTCGAGACAATGAAATCAGTTACAGTAGGTACCACTGTCCCAAGTGCTGCCTGGGTGCCAGATGCTGCACAGAGCACATGTGCATTCTCCCACTGGAACTTCACATCGGCCTCTGGGGCAGACACTTACCATCTGCTGGAAAACTGGGGAAGTGAGGCACATGTCACAGGAGGAAATAATGGCAAAGCTGAATTTTGAACCAAGGCCAGCCAATCCCACAAGCTCTGGGAGACTGTGACAAGATCAATGCCTTGGGCCTCCTTGGGGACTGTATTCACAGACCCAAAAATAAGGGGTTGTAGATCCATGTTCCTTTGCTCTGACATATCCACAGAAAGACCTTGGCCACCTGCTCACAGCCTGACAGAACCTCTGAGCTGGGGTCCAACAGAACCTACACCCATACCTCAACCCCTGAAGCTATACTGGAGTGTTCCACCCCTACACAGGTGTGGACATTCACAGGGCAAGATGTTTCTATCTTCTACCCGGGACAGACAGCGCCTTGGCAGCTAGCCAGCTCTCTGGACAAGAGACCAAGAAGATCTCAAGGGATGCTGGGGAAAGCACAGAAGCTAATCACACCCATTGTCTGTCAACACAGCTATGCCATTTAAATATGAAAAAAAGTGCTAACTTCGAAAACGGGGAATTTGAAAATCTGCCCCCCCTTTTTTTTATCATGTTATGTTATTCACCATACATCATTAGTTTTTGATGTGGTGATCCACGATCCATTGTTTTCGTGTAACACTCAGTGCTCCATGCAGTACGTGCCCTCCTTAATACCCATCACCAGGCTAACCCATCCCCCCACATCCCTCCCCTCTAAAACCCTGTTTGTTTCTCAGAGTCTGTAGTCTCTCATGGTTCATCTCCCCCTCTGATTTCCCCCCCTTCATTTTTCCCTTCCTTCTCCTAATGTCCTCCATGTTATTCCTGATGTTCCACAAATAAGTGAAACCATATGATAATTGACTTTCTCTGCCCGACTTATTTCACTTAGCATCATCTCCTCCAGTCCCATCCATGTGGATGTAAAAGTTGGGTATTCATCCTTTCTGATGTACATATGGCAATTACAAAAGAGTCGGCTGCTACAAGAGCTTCCCTATTTCATTAGTGCTTGCCTTTTGGCAAATGTTGTGACTCGCAGTAAGGTATCCTTGTAATCCTAAGTGTGTTCATCTCAAAAGGTTTAGAAATAAGACCGTGCATCATAAACTATTTTACTTTCCATCAAGAAATACTCTTACCTCTGCCTTTGTTCTTAAACCAGGCACCTAAACAAAAAGAAACAACAAATTTTGTTAAGTACAATGAGAAGCATTTGTATTGCTTTTTCAGACCATGGGTTAAAGGGCATAATTATCTTATTAAAGACTTCATAAAGAGGAAAACAGAATTTCCTTAAGACTTGCCGCCTACATATTTTCGTATCTATGTCATAATTATTTCCTTTCCTATATTCATTTCCTTCAGATAGGAAGCGTAATAGAATAGAGCAGCCCCATGGAGCTGGTCTCAGAAAGTCTCCCTGCTTCATTCAGTACTTTCCACATGGTCACCAGTGACACAGCGCTGTGGGAAAGACGCGGCTCCTAGCCTTCTGGTCACCCTCCTGCGCCTGTCCACACTGGAAGGCCACCATTGCTGGCCCAGGCCCAGGCAATTTCCAATGCCTCCTAACTGCTCTTCCTGCATCTAGCCCAAACCCCTCAATGGCGAGCTCCTGCCTCCCCAACACAGCCGAGCACTCCTTCCGAAGGCCTCCACTTCCTTCACTTCCCATCCCCAATTCCCCCAGCCTTACTTCTCATCCCAAGACACCCTACAGGGCCAAAGGGAGCCTTGGGGAGGGGGCTGAGTAGACATGCTTGGAGAGGCCAGTGCTGAGAGAGTTGTGGCTGCACGCCTGACAGGCTATTTCCAGGACCACCATGAGAAGTCAGATAACTGGAAGAATTCACAGGCCTACGTGGCTGACTTATAAGAAGAGAGGAAGAGGGAATGGGAAAGGAGAGGAAAGTCTTCAACTTGATTCTGAAGACTGCAGTCTGGATGAATAATGATATCATGGACCACCCTACTCCTTTCCTGTTCCCCCCAAAATAAGGAAATCAGGAGGTGAGGGTTCACAGTAATCATACGGTTTTTCATCATTGAAAAGAATCTTCACCTCTTGCAACCCTCCATGCCATCCCCCAAATGGGCCAGTGGCCTCTTATCTCTTCAGGCTTCAGTCACTACAACCAGAAAGAAGGGGCCTCTATACTGCAGTGACCTCCCGTGACCTCTTCTCCTTCACCAGCAATCCTATTTCCTGCCTGTTCCTTCCTGCTGATTTCATCTGCCAACCAGAAAGTGGATTTTCTATTCTTTTCTGGCCTGTCTCTCAAAGAGGTATCTTTTTGGTGCTAACGTGATCATTTCTGTCACAGACATTAAGATGTTTTTATAATTTCTAAAGTTTTCAGTTATTAAATAAAGTCTTTCTTTATTCAGGAGAAAGACATTAATGGTTACCATCAAAATGAATGAAAGCCAAAAAACAAAACAATGAATAAAAGCAAAATATGAACTATATAAAAATAAAAATTTTAAGTGATTATTTCAATATCTTTGGTATCAGTATACCAAAGAACTAGAGAAGAAAAATTTAAACGAGTTGTCAATCATGTACTGAAATTATTCTATACTTGTCATACTTCAAAAGGGTGCAAAGAACAGAAAACAAATCTCACAAAGAAGTTTCACTTCAAAATAATTCTTACCCTCAAAATTTTAGGGCTGCTGTAATAAGCCATGCCCAGGGCTTCAATTTCTTCACACTGTTCCAAATTTATCCTTCTGGTGCACTTAACAGCTTGGTTCACCAGAAATGCTGGAAATCATAACATTCCCAAGGGGAAAAAAAATGAGAGAGAAGAAATTTTTCAACTGTCCCATGGTAACTAAAAAATTGTAGTCTAAGTAAAACCATAAAATTAGTTATAACACAGATATACAACATGCTTAAAAAAGGACTTAAAATTGTATTTTTAATAGGTAATACACTCACATGATTCAAAATTCAAAAGGCGCAAAAAGAGAGTGTTCTCCAACACTTGTCCCCCCTCGCCCATCCCCCAGCCACCACCAGAGACAACTACTTGTCCCCAGAGACAACCAGCATCAAGTTTGTTGTGTATCTTTCTGAAATATTCTATGCAAATAAAAGCATGTGTGTACATATATTTTTAGTATTTCTTTCCCCTTTTGGAAACAAACACATGCTATATATTCTACCCTTCGCTTTTTTTACTGAACAATGTATCTTGGGAGTTCAGGCTATCTTAGAACATGAAGAGCTTCCTCCTCTTTTTTTTTAGGGATAATTAGTATTCTATTACGGATATGTCATAATTTATTCACCAAGTTCACATTAACAGATACTTAAGTTGTCTCTAGCTTTGCCATCACAAACAATGCTGCAATATACTATTTTGCAAGCAGGCCAGATTCTGTAGGACCAACTCCTAGAAGCAAAACAATGGGTCAAAGGGCATATTCATTTGCAATTTTGACACATATTGCTAAACTGCTCTTCACAGAGGTTGTACCAATTTGTAGTCCCGCCAACAATGTAGATGAAGGCCTACTTCTCCAGAGCCTTCAATTTCCTAAGCTTTGCCAATCCATTACATGGAAATGGTATCTCAGTTTGGTTTTAATTTACACTGTTCCTATTGTGAGCAGGGTTGAGTGTCTTTTCAACAGAATGCACTTTTGTTCCTATATGAAATGATGTTTCATTAGGCCACATGCCACCATACACTCCTTAGCTAGCTTCTTCAGAGTGGTGCTGCCTTAAGGATCGGAGAACCACGCCTGCTGCCTCCCACTGCCAACACAGTTACTCCACAGATTCTGTGATGCTCCTGAAAGCAGCAGGTCCCGCGGGAGGTGGCTGTGTGGGCTGCATCCCTGCTCCACCACTGCCTGAGTGAGCCTGAGCAAAAGACTGAATGTTTCTCAGTTTCCTCATCTAAAAAATGAATAACCTGACCTTCAGGGATTATTGTGACAATCAAATGGAAAAACACATGCAAGCACAAGGTAAGTGCTTAATAAATATTCGTTATTGACAAACTTTAGCTCCAGTGGAGAAAGAACTTCCCTAAAACTAGAAGGGTTAAACAACTGAGCAGGCTGGTTTCAGGTAGTGAGTTCCCTATCACTACAAGTGCTCAAGCAGTGACTGCATATGGCAGAAAAGATGTGGTTGGCAATCTGACCTGCATAACCTTTGAGGCCTCTTTCAACTCTAAGACTGTTTCCAGTTATGAAGCCTGTTTAATTATGACTACTATATATTCAAACTAAGAGCAAACTCTGTTTACAGACAGAAAGAAAAACACCCACAGTCTTACCTGCAGGGTTATCATCAGTGCACAGAGATGACATAAGGGGAGAAGGAAATCTCAAAAATGAATCTGAAGTCTGCAGACGAGCCCCATACTGCAGAGAGACCAACCAATAGCTATTATGGTGCTAAGAAAGCATTCATGCAACACCTACCGGACACCTACCATGTGCCAGGCAGCATTACAAGCATCAGGAACACAGTAATGAGCAAAAAACAGATGCAGTCTTTGCCTGCATGGAGCTTACACCCAGCTGCCCCACCCCTTTCTTTCAAAGGTATGTGTTTCTGTGTATGTGATGTTGTTTTATTTGCAGGCTTTTTTTAAGATTCGTTTATTTTAGAGAGCGCGCACGTGCACGTGTGTGTGCAAGCAGGGAGAGGGGCAGAGGGAGACGGAATCTCAAGCAGACTCCCAGGCAGAGTACAGAACCCTACATAGGGCTTGATCTCATGACCCTGAGATCATGACCTGAGCTGAAATCAAGAGTCGGATGCTTAACCGACTGAGCCACCCAGGCACCCCTGCAGGCTTATTACAGAATTCCTCTGGAAAGGTATATAAGAAGCTGACATAGTATCTGCCTCTGCAGACAGGAACTGGGTGGCCAGAACAGGGGTGAGAGAGGTAATTTTTTTTTTTTTTTAAGATTTTATTTATTTGACAGAAAGAGAGAGAGCACAAGCAGGGGGAGCTGGAGAGGCAGAAGCAGGCTCCCCACTGAGCAGGGTGCCTGACGTGGGGCTCGATACCAGGACCCTAGGATCATGACCTGAGTAGAAGGCAGATGCCCAACTGACTGAGCCACCCAGGTACCCCAAGGTAATTATTTTTTACTAGCAATAATTATTTACTTTTTTTAAAAGATTTTATTCATTTGAGACATAGAGATAGAGAAAGAGAGAGCATGAGTAGGGAGAGAGGCAGAGGGAGAGGGAGAAGCAGGCTCCCCACTGAGCCAGGATCCCTATGGGGAGCTCGATCCCAGGACCCTGGGATCATGACCCGAGCCGAAGGCAGATGCTCAACCATCTGAGCCACCCAGGTACCCCAGCAGTAATTATTTAAATAACAGATATAGCACACGTTAAAATCGTAACACTGATGGGCCTTCTTTCCCAAAACCAAACTACATGAAACTTTTCCCCAATATTCAAAACAAAATTTACAGCTGTTGTGCATACAACCAATTTTCTTGAATTCAAAAAGTATCCAAATGCTTTGGTGCCAACAAGGACATGGGGAAACAAACTCTCTCCTTCACTGGACCTGGGAGTTTAAACTCCTGTAATCTTTCTAGAGGGCAATCTGATATGGATATTTTAAATTTCCATTCATTTTGACTAAGTTAATCCAGTTATAGGAAGGTATCTAAGAATTAAATCAAACATATAAGTATCTATAAGAATGTTCATTGTGGATTATTTATAATAGAAAAACTGGAAACAAATGTCTGTTAATAGTGGAATGGCTCAATAATAAAAGCCGATATAGACATAGAAGGGATACTTTGTATCAGTAAAATGTAGCTCCAACAGTAGCTCTGACAAGTTATTTTCCTATACAGAAGTTTTTCTTATCTTTTAAATGGGGACAATGATGTATCCCCTTCAGGGTCCTGTGAAGTAATGTCTGGAAAGCTCTGCAAGAAATGGTAACTTTTATATTGATATGGGAAGATGCCTAAGATTTATCACTGAATAAAAAAGGAAGCTTACAGAACAATGTAGATAGCTATAAACCCTACTTCTGTATAATACTATATGTATATTTTTATAGATTAATTTAAAAATCAGGAATATAAACCAATCTGTTAACAGTGATTTGCAATGTGCATTTTAGTGGACACAGGGGCCTTTCCATCTTATGTACATCTATACTTTTAACTTTTAGAATTAGCACATGGTGCTTTTTTACTTCTCTTTAAAGATGCTTCCAAAAAATCGGAAGCTTATTCAAAGTTAATGTATATCGCATTTAAAGGTTTACTAATGAATAGATATAAAATAGCACACATCTTCCTAAACCTGTAAAACTAAATATAGCTTTGAGAAGAGGACCAGGCACCCAACCAATCCACTCCGTGTCCCCAGCAGCATGACTCAAGCACTCTGCTGCGTCTTTTGAGGTAGAGAAGCACAAAGAATTCTGCGGAGACAAAAGCAGGCTTACTAATGAATAAACAACTTTCAACCCTATGTTACAACTCAACTACTCATTTTTAATTTTTGTGATCTTTGATTTCTAGGCATGAACATTAAGTTTTTCCCTCTATAATGTGAATTCAGTCTCGGGGAAGCCAGTTTTGATAGTGAACAATTAACTCACAAGGATGGGATATTTGCAACAAGATGAGTGGACTTAATCAAGTTCTTGGCTCACCTTATATTTAGCAGTAGCTGGAATGTCCGACTGGGTTGCGAAAGAAATCTCTGATTCTGAACTCAAGGCAAAACCATCAGATTTTTTCATCAATTTATCAAAATTATTTTCATCAGGCACTTCTGGATTAATAAAGGATAACGCGGGTTTATCTGTTTTTTAGAAAAAGTATTTTAAATCAACATAAATATGTACATTATATATATAACAATATTTTGAAACAGTTTTTAGTAGTATTAAGGCTGATGTGAAAAAAATAGTGTCTCTTTCCGTATTTACTTTACCCCAAATTTCTTGAGTCTTGTTAAATAAACAGGATCCCCAGACTTGGCCTGCTTCTCTAACAGTGTGGAAGTAATGGTTTCTAAGCCTGCAGGCAAACAGCACAACAGAAGCCAATAATAACCAATCTTTCTCCAGCCCATGGACTGAGAAGCCTGCTACATTAACCTCTAAGGCAAACCTCTCTGAAGATGGCCACAGGGACAAATGATTTTTTTCTACCCTCACACAGCCACCTCCAAACCAAAGCCCAGGAGAATAATGTGGCTGTGTATAGAACATCTTGGGAGAAGGAGGAAATGGGCTGGTATGTTCACTTGCCTGGTGTTACGTCATAGAACTTGACAATGACTAACCAGTCCTTACTTTAGATTACAAATCCCAGAGCACTGGGTGGCTCAGGGTGGCTCAGTTGGTTAAGTGTCCCACTCTTGATTTCATCTCAGGTCATGATCTCAGGATTGTGAGATTGAGCTCCGTGTCCATCCTGGGAACCTGCTTAAGGTTCTCTCGCTCTCTCCTTCTGCCCCTCCCCCTTCCTTTCTCTCCCCACCCCCCAAAAAATCAAAGAGCATTTGCCTAGTTTTCAACTGCAAGGGAACAAATTCAAAATATAAAGATGTTCTGAAAAGATGATGAAGCTTAATTGATAAAACCATAAATATATCTCTGATCTTAGATATCTTGTTAACATTTTAAACTTACATGTACTTTGGATCTAGACACCTATTTGAGCTAAATGCTCAGATAAAAATAAAGATCTTGTTTTTATGCAAATAGTCTTAGTAAAAATAAAAGAGAAAAAAGGAAATTGAAACCAAAGCTCAACCTGATTTTCAACCATTAAACCATGAGGAAATTAAAAAAAATTATACACACACACACACACAACTTAAATAAACCTAGATTCCTATGTGTGTCTACATATTATAAACACCAGTGAAATAAAGCATGAGATTTCCAAAAACAGCTACATAAGCACATTAGTTTTATAGAAAATGCTCATGCCCACAGGTCTATAAAGTTACTTGCAGTGGCCTGTGAAACAGCCTCAGAAGATGCACCTTAGCCAAACCATAAAATTATTGCTTTAAATCTAACTAAGACATTTTTCCATAAAAGAACTTAAAAAAAAAAACATTTTATTTATTTGACAGAGAGAGAGAAAGCACAAGTAGGCAGAGTAGCAGGCAGAGGGAGAGGGAGAAGCAGACTCCCCGGTGAGCAGAGAGCCTGATGTGGGACTTGATCCCAGGACCCCAGGATCATGACCTGAGCCAAAGGCAGACGCTTAACCAAATGGGCCACCCAGGTGCCCCCTTTATAAAAGAACTTTTTAAAGAAAAACTTTCCAGTGCTTCTCAAAGCATATCACCATCAAATACTTACAGTTTGTAATATGAATGCAGAATATAGATGGATTAATCCGGTTGACAAGTTTAAATACCCTTTGAGGTGGATTTGCTGTAAAATTCAATGAGTAGATGGCTGCTTTCTGATTACAAAACTGACTATCGCCCCTGAAAATTAAAAAATAATAGTACAAAATTTTAAGGCATATGCACACAATCTTAGCTAGATTATTTTAAAACTGTCAGATGCCTGCACTGTACTATGTTAACAGCTACATGGAAGATATTTATGAAAGCGTGATGTTAGAACTGAATCCATTTTTATTTAGTTTATTCAGTGTTAAAATGTTTGGCATTTGAAACTTTTTCCTCTAACAGGGAAAATATTAAGACAAGTAGAATAACCTTTAAGGAAATCTTGTCAAGTACGGAATAAAGATCAGGGTATAATTTTGATGTAAATGAACCCCGTAAACACAATCCCTGTATTCTGACACAATCAATCATATAAAATTTTGCAGAACTTCAGATTGTTTGTAAGTACCCAAAATGGATCCAAAATTCCTTGTCTTTAGAATAAAGCGGACTTCAAAGGACTGTGAGAATCAGAAAATGTGAAGTCATCTGGAAGTTTGGGGGCTTAAAAGTTAGGACACAATCAAGACTTCAACCAATCCCAGACTTGACAAACTAATCAATTTGATACAGATATGGTGTTGAAATAGAGATGTATCAAAAAAGGGATCATAATCTACCTAATGCTTTAAAGCCTTCTCTCAATATGTATTGCCCCAATATTTCCCATGTCATCGATATGTTTTTGCAATATTATACGAAATGGCTTCATTGTATACCAACTTATTAAGATTCTCCAATTTTTTTTAGCCAATTCTCTGCTGTTGGTTCGGGCTATTTCTAGTTTTCCCCAATTACATATAATGCTATCACATCATCCTTGCACATATATCTTTATGAATGTCTCCAGCTATTTTCTTGGGCTATGTTCCCTGAAGTGGAATTGCTGGATCAAAGGTAGGTGTGTTGTTCAAGGCTTCTGAGACATACTGCCAGATCTCCCTCCAGAAAAGGAAGATGCATGCTCACCAATACCACAGTAAGAGTGCCTAGGTCCCTGTATTCTTGCCAAGAATAGATACTATCCAATTTCCACCCTTTGCCAATTTCATGGGCAAAAATCTGTTATCTCATTTTAATTTGAATTTTCTCATTTACTAGGGAGCTAAAGCATTTTTCCATATGGTTATTGCTCATTGGTTTCTCTTCTTCAGTAAGGTGCTTCTTCATATCTACTGACCATTTTTTATTAAAATGTTTGACTTCTCAAAAAAAATAGAATATCTTCTCAATGGTTTGTGAGAATCCATATCTTTAAGAATCTCCTTTGAGTATCATGAGTTGTAAATATTTTATCCCTGTTTTCAACCTTTCAATTTTACGGTGTTTTTTGTCATACAGAATCATTTTGATGCATTATCCTTCCCCCACCTGACTGGAATTACACTTATACATTAAGTTTCTATAAGTTAGTTTACATAATAATTCTTTCTATCCCACCACATAAGTTCCTCCATTTATTCAAATGTTCTGTCTCTCACTATACTTCAAGTTTTCTTCACATAAATTCTAAGTATTTAAGTTTTTTTTTTTAAGATTTTATTTATTTATTTGACAAAGAGAGACAGTGAGAGAGGGAACACAAGCAGGGGGAGTGGGAGAGGGAGAACAAGGCTTCCCGCTGAGCAGAGAGCCCAATGCGGGGCTCGATCCCAGGACACTGGGACCATGACCCGAGCCGAAGGCAGACGCTTAACGACTGAGCCACCCAGGTGCCCCAGTTCTTTTTTTTTTTTTTTTAAAGATTTTATTTATTTGTCAGAAAGAGCACAAGCAGGGGGAGCAGCAGGCAGAGGGAGAAGCAGGCTCCCTGCTGAGCAAGGAGGTCAATGTGGGACTCGATCCCAGGACCCCAGGATCATGACCTGAGTCGAAGGCAGACGCTTAACCGATGGAGCCACCCAGGCATCCCTTAAGTTTTTTCTTATGTGACATTTCTATTGGGTGTTATGAATAGGATCCATTTCCATTATATTTTTTGATGGTTATTGCTGAAGTATAAGGAAGCTATCAACTTGTAAGTAGCCACTTTTCCAAAAACTCTGTAAAGTTCTAATGGCTTATCAGTCATTACTGTGGCATAAAAAACACTTTTTTTTTTAAAGATTTTATTTATTTATTTGACAGAGAGAGACACAGTGAGAGAGGGAACACAAGCAGGGGCAGAGGGAGAGGGAGAAGCAGGCTTCCCGCTGAGTGGGGAGCCCGATGCAGGGCTCGATCCCAGGACCCCGGGATCATGTCCTGAGCTGAAGGCAGACGCTTAACGCCTGAGCCACCCAGGCACCCCTAAAAAATACTTTTGAAAAAATATTAGTATATGAGAAAACATCTAGCACTAAAAAATTTATGAGGCGTACTGCGTCTTAAAGGATACGCAGGAGTCAGACAAAGAAGGAATGGCTAATCCAAGTGCAAGAATGGCCTTGGCCAAGGATGGGTAATGTACTGGTGTGGTATAGAAAACTCTAGTACCAAAGTTAGGCTGCATGGAGGATTCAAGATGCGGGTTAGTAGGAAATAGGATCTGAATTTGTCAGTCTGGGGATGGATCTGAATCCAGGCTAAGGAGTCTGTAAGTAATGAGAGCTTCTGAAGGTTTTTTTTTTTAGCAAGTGAGTGACAAGATGAGGTGTGAGCTTATACAGAGGGAGTAGGAATGGACAGACACAAGAGGTAGCGTGAAGGAATGCAGCAGAATGGGATACCTTACTCTTCCCCTTCCAGTCTGCCCACTCTCAAATCCCGCACAGTGGATGAGTATCAGTTCTGCATATTTCTCTAGTCATGACCTTCAGTGGGGGGGGGGGGGTACCTATTCATCTGTATCTGCAACAGTTTCTTACTCAGTTCCCTGCCACCAGGTTTAGCCCCTGTGACCCATCATCCATGCTGCCGGAGAACTGCTGAAGATGGGAATCTAATCCCCTCACTCCCTGGCACCCTGCAGAATTCAGAACAAAATCCAAACCCCTCAGCATACACACAAGGCCCCTCAAGATCGATCCCCTGTCATTGTGGCACACTCTTCTCAGCTCCCTTCTCCAGCCACACTGAGCTAACTGCAGTTAAAGCAACAGCATACTCCTTCACCTCCAAGACTGCCACGCAGCTCCCTTGACCTAGAATGCCTTCCACTGATTCCATGCTGGCCAATTCCCACTTGTCCTTCAGAACCCAGCTCTGATTGTCTTTTCTAGAAAGTCTTCCCTAGCCCAACTGCCTAGGTTAGATGCTACTCCTCTGAGCTGTCTCAGTGCTGGGGCAGAACTGCCACCCACTCCTCTATCTCTCTTACTCGATGAGCTCCTGGAGGGCAGGGCCGCATCCAGCTCACCTTACATCCCTGGTGCTCGTGAAAGGTAAGGCGTGGTGTGGAAGAAGGCTAGATGTGAGAAGGCAAAGGAGAGGCAGGAGTCAGGGTAGCCTCCAGGTTCTGGCCTAGGTGTCTGCCTGAGAGAACAATGGTAGAGAAGTCAAGAGAATACTAGAGGGTTGGTTAGGGGTGGAGGGGAGAAATTCATTCACTGATTCAACTCACTTCTAATGAGGGCCAACTATGTGGCAGGAGTTTGCTAAGCACTACTGGCATGAGGGATATTATCCTTGCTCTTGTGAGGCTTACATCTAGTGAAGAAAACAGACATTAATCCAATAATCTTAACAATAAATTTACAAATCATTAGATGATAGGATTAGCTGTTGACAGTTTAGCAGATGTAAACAAACCTTTTATGAATTAGAACCTAATGAGAATAATCAATTAATTGGGATTATTAATTTTGATTTCATTATTTCTACACTTCTTTTTTAGGAGAAAGTCATAAGCAAAACTCAAAAAAATTCTGAGGTCCTTTCCTGAGGGCACTATGGATTCAGCTCTAACTTCTATACGAGGGGTCCACAAACCACACCTAATTTTGTAAATGAAGATTGACTGAAACATAGTCATGCCCATTCATTTACATGGCTGCTTTGGCTCATCAATGGTAGAGGTGAGGAAGTTGCAACAGAGACCACTGGCCTCTAAAGCTTAAAATATTTATTATATGGCTTTTTACAGAAAAAGCTTCCTGACCCACATTCTAAATAGTCTATATCTAAAATTCAATGTTGACTAATAAAAGAAAAAATGACATTCTAAATTATGATCTCGAATAGAGCCAAAATCTCACTCTCAGGCTTTTGATACTTAAGGCAGAAAAGCAGAATGATTTCTAACAAAGACTGAACCATGCTGTAGTCCAGATACCCAGAAAAATATTCTGACTACAACAGACCATTCTCCAAACATTTTTACAATATTAGAAGCAGATTCAATTTCCTGTCGGTCAGTAATATAGTTTCTCGTAAGAGACATCTGGGTGGCTCAGTTGGTTAAGTGTCTGACGCTTGATTTCGGCTCAGGTGATGATCTCATGGGTTGTGAGATGAGCCCCACAGCTGGAATGGAGTCTGCTTGAGATTCTCTCTCTGCCTCTGCCTCTGCCTCTGCCTCTGCCTCTGCCTCTGCCTCTG